TCGCAGGATTCGAACCCGGGACCTTTGGCATTGTAGGCGAACGCCTTACCATCGGACCACTGGGCCGGCATCCAACGGTGTTAATGTCTAACTCTGATTGATCTAGGGATTTTGCGCGACCTCACCCATTTGTCTTTGGTAGTTACTGCCTACACCCGACAGGGTTGAACTCCACTGGTCACGTCTTCTCAACTAGAACTCCGAGAATTTCCTCACGAAGCTAGTCACTAGTGAGCACTGTTACATTATATTGGGGCACAGTTTTGGAGGTTTGCGTTTTTACACATTTGAAATCATTAATCAATCATCATTGTTAGACCACCATTGGAAACCTGAGAAGACGTGACCAGTGGAGTTCAACCCTGTCGGGTGTAGGCAGTAACTACCAAAGACAAATGGGTGAGGTCGCGCAAAAATCCCTAGATCAATCAGAGTTAGACATTAACACCGTTGGATGCCGGCCCAGTGGTCCGATGGTAAGGCGTTCGCCTACAATGCCAAAGGTCCCGGGTTCGAATCCTGCGAGGAGCAGGAGTCGTGGATGCGCACTGCTGAGGAGTCCCATACTAGGACGAAACGGCCGTCCAGTGCTTCCAGGTTTCTAATGGTGGTCTAACAATGATGATTGATTAATGATTTCAAATGTGTAAAAACGCAAACCTCCAAAACTGTGCCCCAATAAAATGTTTTATTATCATACTATTTATGTCCCAATCTTAAACAGAAAAAGACACCAAATTGAGAAAGTTTTCTTCGAGTTCTAATCAAATCTAAGTATGATTAGTACTTTATCGCGAACAGCTTACACATATAACTTGATTCTGTTTACTATTTAACATTAGTTTAGTGGCTAAAACATTCCGACTTCCACAAGTATATATCAGGATCGAGTTCATATTCCCCTACTTTTATTTGGATAAACGCACTACAGTTAGGCTGTTAGTCGAATAATTAAATGTGTATTTGGTAAATGCTTTTCTGATTTCATATTTCCCAGTCTTTATTTGAAATATCCACTTATGGGACTAGTTATAAACAATCTGTCTGTTCATCCATTCAAACTCTACTACATCCTTCTGATCAATATTACTGCAACTGTCAAAAAGGTTATTCTCAAAGAACACCTTTAGTGTTTGAACACTAAATAATTAAAATGTCTATTATACAATAAGATCAAAGATGATGGTTTTTAGACAATCTTGAGTACGAAGTTTTGATTAATCGAATCCGTTTCCTTGGTACATCCTATTGTGAAAAGAGATCACACTGTGAAGCGACCTTTCCATACTTAAATGCCTAGTTTTCATAACCTACATGACGTGTGGTGTTTCCTCTTTTTGTGGTAGTTTTCAAGCCACAGGAGAAGTCGCCTTAAATTATGGATAACCGACTTCATTTTGGCACAGCTTCAATTCTGTACTATCAGCTGTCTCTATTCGCATAAAATTCGTTAAGCCCCATCGATTACATTGTATCCATTAGTAAGAATTAATTTTCATGGATTGTTGTTGGTACAGTTGTTATGAATTCGCCTGAGCCAAGAACACTGAGTTCGCAAGCTCTAATACTGCGTTTTTCATGATCTAGGCCCACGCAAAAAACTCGAATGTTCCCAACCTGCCAACCAGAATACCAGAACAAGTATTCATACACTGCGAATTTCCTCCGCTTATTTCTCTTATCAATAAAATTTACTGTCATTTTGTAAATTTGAATATCAATAAAAAATCTTATCAGTATTCCATTTCAAAACACCATACTGATCAAGAATAATTTTTTCCATTTAGAAAGTTTTACTCATAACTTTTAGCTTTTACTGCCATAGATTAAAAGATCTATGATTATAAAAATGGTGTACGCTATTTGAATTTCTAAAAAAGTCGTAACCTATAGCATAACAGTTGTGTCGAAAGAAAGTTCACTCTTCTGTTTCTCCATTAAATACTGCTTTTTCGCTTCTCGTTTTTCGTAACACTAACAGATGAATCTCTCCAACTCTCTGGCAACGTAATTATTACAATAGTGAAATTAGCATGCAATGAGATAAGTTACTTTCAAGATGTGATGTTGTAGCTGATGAATACAGTTTTACAAAACCAGATATTAGAGAATCAATCAATCTAGGTTCATTGCAACTGGTTGTGAAATATCAGCGTCGTTTGCTTGACTACTCTTATCCCTGGTTCTATTCATATTCCATTGAGGCTGTTAACATATTGTCTTGGTCGTCAATAAACATTGAATTGAACGAAAACAAATGATAAAATATTTAGACAGGAAACTTATTTATTGCATATGTTCAATTCTTTAGTGACTAACAGTATTTTTTCTTAGACTTCATAAAATTTAATCAGGATAAATGATTATCTGTATTGTGAGAAATTTTATTTCACAGTTTGAAATATAAATGTTCTCTCGGAGGCGTGCAAATATTATTGATCAAAGTGTTTCATCGGTGACAAAGCCAGTCATCTATTTTGTATGTATATACAACTTACGATTTACCTGAAAAGTAATAAAGTTTTACTCATATCGCTGTTTCCCCACTGTGATATCTACCTCACACACTTACTTACTTGCGTACGTAAATGTTTTTAGTACAGCTAAACAAAACGAGTACAATAATAAATGTTTTATTTTAGTTAGCCGCGTTTCCTTCGTAGAATTGTTCCACTACATGGAGCCCCCCTTGGAAGGGGTTTATACTTTCGATACGTAGGAGCTTCGTGCGAAGGGAGGGGGCTGGTCGACCAACGCGTGACTGTAGTGAGGAAGGGTTGACGAACAGTAAGTGACCAATGAAGCTCGAGTTGTCACTGAAAGTCTTCTACGTTGAACTATGCCAGTAGTAACGTGCCACGTTTGTTACTCTGGTTAGCGTGCCCCACCAGGGTGGCTCGTATCCAGAGTCTTATTATTGCGTTCGTAGCGATCCAGACCAGAAAAGGCCGCAGACGTAGGACGGAACCAGATTGATCGGGAGAGAGAGAGAGCCAGAAACGACCAGAACGATCGAACGCGAAACCATACGTACGACAGGTACCTTCGGAACCAGAACATCGACTACGTGCATTGACAAGGGCGTGCGCGATAAGGTCAGTCTTCGCCAATATTGACTGAAGTCGACGGCACCAACAGGGCGATAGTGGTATATATGGTCTCAAGACACAAAATGAAAGAAGAGGAGAAAAGTGTAGCATACATGTAGTACGAGGATAGGGTACCATCACGTATCCGCTAAAGCGTAGAGGTACGCGTACGCGGCACCCGGAAAGCGAGACGGTAGTCTCGTGCGTACCTCGTGAACCTGCAATCTCATCCGAAGTCGAGGGCGGTGTGGTCTACTAATCTGGATGTGAGACCGGAGTCTCATCCGTAGATAAGGCAGATGACGCGTGCTGTTTGCAGGGACGTGATAAGGAGGTCTCTGATGCATCTAGCGTGGGATCAGAAATAGAAATAAGGCTATCGCTATTGCGTTGGACGAGTCTAGCATTGAATCTCGATCTATCGGGTAGGGCACTGTTGTTGACGTGCGCTGGCATGAGACGATCTATCCTGGCTGTGTCTATCAACCTTGAAGGTATTTTCATGACGAGAGATCACGTGAAAAAATCGTTGGTAAGGCTGTTGAGTACCGAATCTACTCGTATGAAAACAGATGGACAGGTATATAATTCTCGAGTTCACACCGGAGGCAGTGTTCACATCTACGCAGATAATCGTTGGACGTTATCCGGTATACATAAGATCGCTGCTCCGTGGTGTAAACAGTTTTCATAGGCAGATGCAATGTCGTGTCATATACAAGTTCAGAGACGGAAAGTTAGATATCTGCCGTTGCTGCTCCATAATCGAAAACGTTGTTGATACGATTCGTCATTTCGTATGATTTAGTAACAACACTATCAATCACAATAATATTTTTCATGTGAATTCCTCGCCCGCTCTTCCTCAGAGCTTTCACTTTCGAAATGTTCTATCAACAGTCTTTTTCCCCCTTGTTTATATTTTGGCCTTGAAAAATCTGGGTCTATTTATTGCATAAAAGGATGAATTTCGTGACATAATCGTGTATTATAATCGCACTTCACCAAATATCACGTCGCAACCTACTAGTATTTTGCTAAACAATATTCGATAACAACAAATTGTCATCACAAATCGTCGACACTGCTTTGCCTACTTGACTTTGAATTATCTGTTCGATTGTTGGTGCGGTAACACTTTGTTTAGCATTAGTTAGTTAGCAGTAATCAATTCAAGAGCCTTAATGTATACCTAGACAATAGAGTATTGTGACTAAATCTATGTAAATTTTCAGCAAAATCAGTTATACCTAAAGATAACTATGATGAATTCTGGTAGTTGAAACTATTATTTTTACCATCTAGCGAGATTCACTTCAAAACCAAACTAAAGAACTAGAAGAGCGCTGTCATGATCTACAGACAAAATATGAAAATAATGCACATAGTTTGTCAACAATGGTAAGTTCCGATGTTTATTTTCATTTCTCTTTGTCGAACACGTTTTCTGTCGATCAGTTTATATGATGTATCTACATCTAAATTGATGAATACTAATCATGAGCATATCAGTTTGTGAAGATTATTAAATGTTATTGATATTGAAAACCGACCTAAATTGGACAACCATTGAGAAAGAGAGAACAACGGATAGATGTTTCGTCCTATTATGTTGCGTTGTTTTGCAAATTACTTTATCTGGACATCATTTATGACTAGTTTTGCTCTTACTGATAACTCATAACACAACAGGAAAGTACAATTCCACTTGCAAGCATCAAATAATTCTAGAAACACTGTAGCACTTCGTGTATTATCACACGCCTACGTGACTTTCGAATGGACAAATTATTTTCATCTTTCCATTTATTCCATCAAACACTGTGTGTTGACCTATTGAATTACTCGGTTGAAATCTTGACGAACTGTAAACACTGGAGACCACATCACTTGATCTTTCGTACCATACAGATGCGAATCGGTACAAAACAGGCTAACATTATGGTAGAGTTAGTTCCATGGCACACTCATATCGAATAGTTGTTGATGAGGTGGGAGGCGAGTTTGACGCTACAGAGAAAGTACCAGCAGAGAAGCTTCCAAAATGGTCGGAATGGCTTCATCTCTTCCGGTTCCATAATTTAGTGGGGAGCCTAAAATTTGTTGAGGATTGGCTGAGTTTCCACACATTCCACATAAATTCTTATATAAGAAGATTGTGATTTACTTTCAACTCTTGAAAACCACATGTCATAACAGTCTCCTTTCTAACTTATGTATTTATTCTCCTTTTTAAGACCACACTTTTCATTAGGTAATATTTCTGTATCTGCACATCTTCCTACCTAGTTAAACGTTATTTTCCTGTTACATTTTCTAGTTGTTAATGAACAACAAATAAAACGTTCTTGTAATCGCAATTTGTATTATTCTGATTGCGTTTCGATTTCATGACTGTGTTCGTGTCAATCAATTTGGTAACAACCTGCTGAGTCAATCAGTCGGTTACAACGTACAACATCGTACGTAAGTACAACAGTTCACGTTACCATACCATACCACATTAGCACAGAGGCGCGATTGTCAGTTCAAATCCCATTGTGGTAGAGATAGTAGAAGTATTACTGGTAATGGAGAATTTAGGATTTGAAGATATTATTCAAGAAGTATAATTCAGTGAGATAAGGTTAGAAAGACAAAGGTAGAAGTGTTGACGAATCTAGAAGATTAGGATTTGAGAGAACACAACGAGTGGATGCACCTGCACAATTGCAAACCGTCAGTGACCTTCGTCTCGCGGGTCCCAACCAGGTAGTCGACATCTACCAACATGACTCAGTCCACTTGTCAGTGACTTCGTGGATTTGTGCCATGTTTTGGTTTGGCCGCCACTAGCTTTCTCCCAGCCTACAACAACATCACAAAACATCGCTCTTCGAGGCGGTCAGTGGTTGTGCATTCGTAGCACATGTCCCAACCACCCCAACTGATGAAGTTCCAATACTTCTTCCCTACCTAGTACTCGATTCCTAACAACAGCATTGCTTACTCGGTTGTCCCACGATACACGAGCAATGCATCTGAGACATCTGTGATCGAATACTAGTAATCTTCGAATATCTTCTACTCTTACCGGCCATGTTTCGCATCCATATAAGAGAACGGAGCGAACTACTGCACAGTACACTCGACCTTTGGTTAGCAAACGGATATCTCGCCTACGCCATTACCGACGCATGTTGGCAAAAGCCAATGGAGCGTTTTATATCTATGCTGAGATTTCGGAAGTCACCAGGCCATCGGCGCTGATGAAACTCCTGAGATGAGTGAAGCGGTCGACACGCCCGACTACTTCACTTCCTATCACTAGTTCAGGTGCCGATGAAACCCAATCTTGAAGCAACATTTTGCATTTCGAGGGTGAGAACCGCATCCCGAACATGCTTGCTTTGTTGCTTAGGGTAGTCAGAAGACTCTGCATTTTGTCAGCGTCTTCACCAAGTAGGACTATGTCATCGGCATATTCTAGGTCAATATGCGATGCTCCTGGTAGAAGGTCCACCCCTGAAAATCTGACGAAGATAATGTTAGGTCTAAAAGGATGACTACGACAAAGTTAGACAAGAATGGAGAGAATGGACAGCTCCGACGGACACCGTTGGAAGTAAAGAATTCCTACGTCTGGTGAGTCGTAAACCAATACGTGAACGCACTAGAGCATGATCTGAATCTAGACATGTGCCCCAGAACGAAAGACAGCCCACTGTCGAACCTTTCCATCACTAGCTGATGGCGATGTGATCTATTTGGGTCAAGCGTTGCGATGAATTCGGAGGTCGCCATGTCAAGAGATGCTTTTCCTTATGCTTAAAGTTAGTGATTACCAGAAATAGGCGTTTATTTGAGCACAGTTTCAACAGACGGTCGCCGTTTTCTGTTCTTCGAGCCGCGAGACAATGAGATCCACCCAGGTGTCTTCCCTTCTTACTTAGTCTAACTACTTGAGCATTAAGGTAACTCACCATCATTACTAGATCAGAGTGTCTAACATTTTGGAGGAGGCTCGAAAGCTTTCTTTAGAACTCATCTTTCACATCGTCTGAACTGCAGTCAGTGGGAGCGTATGCAGATATGACGAAGAGGCAACGGCGAGTGTCCCCATCTTAGAGTCCTTACTGTTCCGTTCAGTCGGACAGCGCACAAGCGACAATCTACTGCGATCTAGTCTGGGAGAGCTAGTTCTGACCTAGAACTCAATGCTTTACCTACACCAGGGAGGTCACGGGAGCAGAGTCAGGGCCTCCAGATACACGAAGGGTAAATCGAGTTGCCTCTTTATGTTGACTTGGTGAGGTCAAGTGAATGACGCTACTCGGATGCTGTATGCGCGTTTCGAAGAGGCACCATACATCGATGGCGTGAGATTCTAAAGTTCTAGCTAAGGAAGCCTGTTGCCCAATTTGACACAATTTCCGAACATTAAATGTTCCAACATGCAGTTTAGAACGGAGTTTCAGGAGACCAGGAATAACGTTTCGGGAACTGGAATCGTTCGCAGCAGAAGTGCGGGGTGATAAAGGAATGTGAGGAGAGTTAGTCGTGAAGATGAGGGGGAGGTTAGGGAGTGTAGGAAGGATTTGATTGTGACCGATTTGCTTTCGTGTACTGTTACGCGTATGAGAGTGGATGTCACTTCCCGGCTGCCCACACTGTGCAAGGGTGTTTCTTGAGGAACCTGAAAAGGAAGGTAGATTAGTTTTGGTCTTAACGAACTGGGAGCGCGACCGCAGAGTACAAGGGACAACGGTCACGCACAGACTAGGTTTTTTGAGTATTAGCTCCGCTCTTTTGAAAAGCCCTTATTGGGCAGCCCTTACCGACGGAGACGGAAATCCGTAAGGTTAGGTGACATGTGGCATTTTTAGGGTCGACCTTTTCTAACCCTTCCTTGTGAGAAGGCAGCATCGCTGCAGATGCTAGTTGTCCGACAGAAACACCTAACAGCTGTCACTGCTGTCTCTGCACTCAGCAGTGCGACTTCGCCATCAGATCTTGAGCAGCTGTTTTTAGTCTCATCGTTCTCCAATCGACCTGCCTTGCATGTCGGAACCTACAGGAACACATGTTCCAACCAATATAGCTCGGTTGGGTCATCACGAAAGGCAAGCCCGACCATCACGTTCAGGTAACAGCTACAGTCGGGTGCTTGTGTCACGATTTATAGATGTTTTGAGAATAACAACTGTAAATTATAATGCTAACTTTTATCATAAAACAACGTAAATCATAATATTGAAGATTACTCTTTATCTAGGTTAAATAATTCTTTCCATAAAATAAATAATATACAATCATTATTCCGAATAATGCATCTGTCCGTTTGTAATTTTATAAATCAGAGTTGAAATTGGAAATTCTGAACAGAGTTATGCAATTCATCTTGGCATTATCTCCAAGATGATGAATAAACATATCCAGTGGAAAGTCAATTAGGTTTCTAAAATGACAGACAATAACACCAACCAATATTTGTTTGCTAATTTCCAATGAAATTCAAACTTTCATTGCAATTTTCAGAATAAAATTGCAGATATTATATACTGAGAACAAATATATATCTGTGTTTCCCAGTAAAAGATCTAACCAGTATTCAGAGGGAAATAAATTAGGTCAGCTAAATGAAAGCAGAACAAAAAAATTATTAGTGACGATCTATGATGAGTAGTGATAGTTGAATTAAGTATATTAACTATTAATACCTAAAACAGTCCAGTTCGTACTCTGCTTATCACGTTTCCACCTTTATTCAAGTCACATAGAACTGTGGGAATGGAATGCATGGTTTTGCATTTACAATTCAAATCAGGAACGGAATATTGTGAAATTATTTATCGAATACAAGTTGTCTGAAGGGCCATCGGCCTCGTGACTTCCGTAGGTACTTGACGTTCATCATGAGACGTCATAACTCTTCGTAATGAAGACCTGTGGTGCTGTCGTTCACTACAGACCTAACTCCCAAAGCAGCTTAAATTATTGTTTCTTTTTAGCAATTTTTTTTGGCGAGTTAGTTTTTTGAGGGATGCGGTCGCCAACCACAAGCACGACCCTCCTTTCTCCCGCTTTTGGACCGGCAGTAGCCCAGAAGGGTCTATAGGTGGATGTAAATAACCACGAATAAACGATTGTAGCTTTTCTCCACATAATCAGGAGTCACAAGTCAACCAGTTCAATAACAAACAGCATTTATAATTTATTTATTTATTCTTTTGCGAATAATGCATCTAGACATTTGTAATTTTATAAATCAGAACTAAACATGAAAATTCTGTGAAAGTTTCGACTGGTATCCAAGCTACACAAGAATTAACAAATAACAGCACAAATACGGAGAAAACTGAACAAGATGAAACAGAAAGTTTACCAAAGCTTCAACTTTCAAGGTTTGTGGTTATTTTTTGTAGTTTATCGGGATTTATTTATATAATTGCACAAAAATATACTTCACATTTAGGGTTACCTAAAATGATTTTCATGGAGGAAATTTAACAGTTCGGCATAAGTAGCATACTGCTAATTAGTTTTGATTAACCAGTTTTTGTTGCTTATCACTATTACTTTTGGTTTGATAAATAAATACTCAAAACTTTCTACAAAATTATTTAATCTTAATTTTAATGTTATAATACTGGTATTTACTTTAAAATCATTTAATGTACTCAGACTGCATCCGATTGTTCGAAAGAGGATTAAATACAAACTAAAACACCAGCATGTTCTTACGAGGTGAGAGGATAGAAGTACGCACACACTGTAAGCAAACCTTATGTTTATCTACACACTAATTAATCACAGGCTACTTTGGTTGGGATTGTCAGGCGGACTTTTACACCACTTGAATTCAAAGGTGAATTTCACGTAAAATATGCTTTTTTCATGCTTATGGTTGAATGTCTTTCTTCAAAAATTAATACTTGTTCAAACAAAAGTTGACTGCTACAACTTTGTAAAATAATGAAGAGATGGATTTGAATCGAAATAATAAAAATACTGACTTAAAAGGAGACGCATTGTTGACTGTTGACTGACTATTCATAAACAAATGAACAGAGTTATGTAATTCATCTTGACATTATCTCCAAGATGATGAATAAACATATCCAGTGGAAAGTCAATTAGGTTTCTAAAATGACAGACAATAACACCAACCAATATTTGTTTGCTAATTTCCAATGAAATTCTAACTTTCAATGCAATTTTCGGAATAAAATCGCAGATATTATATATTGAGAACAAATATATACCTCTGTTTCCCAGTAACAGATCTAAACAGTATTCAGAGCGAAATAAATTACGTCAGATATCACCTCCTCATGAGTCTGCGAAATTTACAAATCCTGATTTAGACAGTTCTGGTACATTACCTGATTCCATAGAATCCAGAGTGCAAGCACTCAAACAAGCTAATCAGTATTTAAGGATGGAAGTGGAGAACGCATGTAAAATGATCAATTCAAGTGTTTTAAATAGGAATACAATGGAAGATGAATTTCTATCTATGCCAAAAGTAAAGTATTCCAATTTAATTCAGTTTGATATTGGAGATCATAAACACAAAGTGAGTTGTTCATATTTAAAATAGTATTAGTTCACTTCTAAATTACCTCCTATGTAACGCTCAACAAAAGTCTGACAGACTGAGTACCGCCATAATCGATTCGACTGTACACTGATGTATGGCTACAGAAGTTAAACAATGACACAAACATATTCCATGCAATCAACCATACATCTTTGAAAAACATGCCTTGCCTGTTATAGACAGGAGATTAGGTCACATTTTACACTAACACTGTTTGTGGTGCCTAAAAGCATGTTCCGTAATTACCTAATTACAAATTCATCTTGTGTTTTATACGATCTGTGCTGGAATAGAATTTCACTTCTGATTTCACTAAATCAACTTCAGCTTTAGAAACTGTAAAATATATTCAAGGTGAAGACTAGATAAACCACTTCTTAATAATTACTACTATTCTTTACACTGGACAACTGTTTCACCATAGTAGGGGAATCCTCACTAGTTAGTACACATGACAAAATCTAGCATGGCCCAACTAGCGTCTATTCATCAAACCACCGATGGATTGCGGTTGGAAAGTAGAAATTTGCTGTATGGTGCAATGACTGTCCAACCCCACTGGTGACAAATGTTTTTTGATTCCGATATGTCCGAACTCGAAACAGCCATCCACTTCTCCATGATGTCCATTGATACCCCACCCCAACTGAGGTCAATCAGTCACGAACACTACATACAAACTAGTCTAATATGCACAAGGTCTACAAGATCTAAACAATAGGATCATTTGTCTGCCTCTACTCTGTTCATGACGGACCGATCTTAGACAACCATTGATAATCCGGAGGTTCTGTGTAGCTATTTCGTTTTAGTATGGGACTACCCGGGGATGCTGATCCACAACCTTACTAGAGATCGGATTGATCAGGTCTATAATGTCGTATCAAATCTGAATAAAAAGTAAACTGACAGATTTTTAACTTCTGACTGTGCAGGTGTTCTTTTAATGTTTACTAAATTTTAACAAAATCACATTAGATAATACACACTTCGAAAGATTACTGTTATGAGTTATAAAGAATCGTAGCTAACAATACGTTCGAGGAAATCAGCAAAGTATTTGAAAGGAAATCACCTTACAGAAAAACAAACATTAACTATATTCACCTCCAAATCTGTTCTTAGTCAGCTGTATTATTCCATAAGTAAAACACATTAAGATTTCATCGGAGAGAATCACTTTATGATTTGTTGTGCTAAATGAAACACCGAACTCATCCTTACTTCGCATAATGCTCGCCGTGGTGGCAGTATTTTAAATGCTATACAGAAAGTCACCACTGAAATCAAACTAGTGACATCTCAGGTTACTACTGTTTTTCAATTTTCTTCCATATTTTTGGCATATATGATGGCTTAAATTTTCTTACTATACTAAAACACTGAAAGTTGATTTATTTGATTTCTACTATTGCGAATGAAGCAAGCACTGCTAAAACGTAGTTCAACTTGACGGTTCACACGATGAAACTAACTCACCATGAGAATTTCAATTTAACACATCTCATAGTCGCCAAATGAAAGCAGAACAAAAAAATTATTAGTGACGATCTATGATGAGTAGTGATAGTTGAATTAAGTATATTAACTATTAATACTTAAAACAGTCCAGTTCGTACTCTGCTTATCACGTTTCCACCTTTATTCAAGTCACATAGAACTGTGGGAATGGAATGCAGGGTTTTGCATTTACAATTCAAATCAGGAACGGAATATTGTGAAATTATTTATCGAGTACAATAAGATCAACACTAAAGAATAATTGTTTTATACAGTAATTGCTCTCTCAATATGTTAATGTTCATTTTCGCGTGAAATACACGATGTGTTATATCCTATTTTCTTAAGGTTGAATTTCTCAATGAACCTGATCACTACATAAAGTATGCAGATGAAAGTTTGATCGAGCAAGAATCAAAAACTATTTGGCTTGAACAAGCTGAATCTGTAAGATGTGAATTTAAAATGGTTGATCATATGCAGTTCTACAAACCCTTTGATTTAATGTGCAATCCTTTATCTTTTTTTAACCCTATATCTTAACTCTACACTCATGAATGGAAATTTCAACGAGTATCCGCAACACCGATTCCAACGTCCATTGAACTGGTGTTCAAAAAACCAGTCATAGTCTACAGAATTCAATTGATAGATATTAATGTTACAGTTAAGGACAATGGAATTTGTTTAATTGGTGTGACACATTTAAAAACAACTCCGAGAATAAAAATGGAACAAACTGTACAGTAAACGACAAACGATCATTCATACTTTGTGTAAATTTTGTTTAACCTTGAGTAAATCTGACTCCAATCATGAATTTTCCTTTAGATTTTCATAGAACAGTTTCGACAGCTTTTAGCGAACAAATAATCCGACAAGATAAATAAATAAATGGTTATGAAGATCGGGTCCCAAATTTAGCTTCTTCCTTCTTAAGTGATTACATTATACACACATATATAACTTTCTTTAGATTTTAAATTTCCATAATCCATTTAAATTATCAGAAAATCACGTTCAAGACAGTTTTTATCTCCCTGTGGCTTCATGGAAATTAATTAAATAGCAATTTGATCATTTAATGCAGGACGAAGTACATTGTACATATATATAGCATTCAGTTAACATCACCCTTTCAATCTTTTCTTTGATAAATGAAATATGTTTGCTGAAATATTACTATTTGAAAATTTTCTTTATAAATGTACTGAATGAAGCGTCATGTTTTCATTTTCATAACGATTGAGTAATTTATTATATTCTGATTAGGTAACATAATCACTGGTTTTCAGTTGTTGTTTGGTCCGATCAACTACATTTCTTTGGCCCACTAAAGCTGATTTTAAAAGTAATTTAAACTGGGCCTTATACATTTTGCGTAGTTTGGTGTAAAGATGTATCCGATAGATAGCTATTGATGACAACCATACAGTTATCACGATATATAGACTTAGAAAGATCCAAACAGACACACTAATGCGTTCCTTCCAAACCCAGTATGTTTCATCGCTTTGTTCTACCGTCCTAGTAGTTAACTCTTTTCTAGAATTGACAACCACAAACTGCTCAAATTCTTTCAGCATATTGATGAAGAATCCAATGATCAGGCGAGATACAACTCCTCCAACTATTTGGCATTCTCGAACAGACGTGGAGCCCATGTTGTCCGTAGTAAAACCCATGGGACATTGCAGGCATCCTCCAATAGACGGATAACGTGTTTCACCTGAGTAGTAACCTTTAGGACAGAAGAAACAACCGCCATATGAGTATGGAGTTTGGGGAGCATGACCTGGAAGACATGGATGGCATATAACTGACCATTTGCTTAGTGGATGTTCTGATGAGTCTTCTACTGATGTATTACTTAGACTGATTGACTTTAAAAAAGGTGGAGGCTCATATGTTTGACTGCCTGGTGGACAAACAACTCGTATGCGAGTGGCGATTTCGTGTATGACCAAACTGTCACGTGTTACCGAAGTTTTAATGAGCTCGTCCATTTCCACCTTCAGAGAAGCATGAGCTTGGTTGAAGTAACTTTCTGTAGGACTAAATAATCTGAAAATCTGATCAGGCGATAGATCAATATGTAGTGATACTTCAGTGAACGTACTTTTTGGCAGTTCATTCGGGATTGATGCTGTTGGTTTCGTTGCTGTGATCATTGGCATCACCTGTACTACTATATCTTGACAATAACTAAGTTTATATCCAACCACTTTAACTCTTGTTGTTGTACACCATTGCCTTATCTTCTCCAATGTTTGTTGAAGGTTTTTCTCTGTTATTGGATCGTCGGAAGTTGCTTTAAGTGCATAACTCCATACTATAACTGGCATAGTGTAAACACGAAAAGCGAATTGTAGTTGCCGTGAAATTGCATTAGGACGTTGTAATAAATTCCATTTGGTTCTATCACCAAATAAATAAAACGAGTAATAAACTACACACGTCACAGTTCCCACTTCATCAGTGGATAATTGTTTGTTTCCTGCAAGTGTCTCACTAATTTTCGGTCCGGAATTCGTTTGTTTACCCAGTATACCCTCGGTGATTCCAGTTAATGGAAAGTAGATAGTGAGAACTTCACCAACATGGATTACTTCTCCTCCGCTATTGAACCACACAGTTATGCTGTGGTAGTGATTGGCCTCTGACTTCTTTTTAATTGGTTCCAGCCATTCAGTCACGCTAAAGTTAATAGATCGCGGCCACCAACACGGCAAGTGCACAATTTTGCCTGATGGTATCCAGAGGGTGATGTTGTTGACTTCTGACTCGACAAATAATTCAACAATGCCCAATAACATATGAAATAGATATATTGCAGACAGCTTCATGGGAAATGCAAATTTGTAGAATGAACCGAGATATTCTTTTCATACTGTAATTTTTTGATTCATTTGAAAGTAATCGGCGTATGGACAATCGATTAATACAAATCGATTGCATTTAAAGAAATCAAAAAATTACAGTATGAAAAGAATATCTCGGTTCATTCTACAAATTTAAATTTCCAATGAAACTGTCTGCAATATATCTATTTCGTATGTTATTAGGCAGTGTTGAATTATTTTTCGAGGAAGAAGTCAGCAACATCACGCTCTGGTTACCATCAGGCAAAATTGTGCACTTGCCGTGTTGGTGGTTGCAATATCAGAACTGATCCGCGACTGACAGGCTGGATACGAACAGATTTTCAGATTATTTAGTCCTACAGAAAGTTAATTGAACCACGCTCATACTGCTCTGAGGGTGGAAATAGACAACCTGATTAAAACGTCGGTAACACGTGACAGTTTGGTCATACACGAAATCACCACCCACATACGAGTTGTTTGTCCACCAGGCAGTCAAACATATGAGCCTACACCATTGTTCAAGTCAGTCATGAATGTGATTTTCTGATAATTTAAATGGATTATGGAAATTTAAAATCTAAAGAAAGTTATATATGTGTGTATAATGTAATCACTTAAGAAGGAAGAAGCTAAATTTGGGACCCGATCTTCATAACCATTTATTTATTTATCTTGTCGGATTATTTGTTCGCTAAAAGCTGTCGAAACTGTTCTATGAAAATCTAAAGGAAAATTCATGATTGGAGTCAGATTTACTCAAGGTTAAACAAAATTTACACAAAGTATGAATGATCGTTTGTCGTTTACTGTACAGTTTGTTCCATTTTTATTCTCGGAGTTGTTTTTAAATGTGTCACACCAATTAAACAAATTCCATTGTCCTTAACTGTAACATTAATATCTATCAATTGAATTCTGTAGACTATGACTGGTTTTTTGAACACCAGTTCAATGGACGTTGGAATCGGTGTTGCGGATACTCGTTGAAATTTCCATTCATGAGTGTAGAGTTAAGATATAGGGTTAAAAAAAGATAAAGGATTGCACATTAAATCAAAGGGTTTGTAGAACTGCATATGATCAACCATTTTAAATTCACATCTTACAGATTCAGCTTGTTCAAGCCAAATAGTTTTTGATTCTTGCTCGATCAAACTTTCATCTGCATACTTTATGTAGTGATCAGGTTCATTGAGAAATTCAACCTTAAGAAAATAGGATATAACACATCGTGTATTTCACGCGAAAATGAACATTAACATATTGAGAGAGCAATTACTGTATAAAACAATTATTCTTTAGTGTTGATCTTATTGTACTCGATAAATAATTTCACAATATTCCGTTCCTGATTTGAATTGTAAATGCAAAACCCTGCATTCCATTCCCACAGTTCTATGTGACTTGAATAAAGGTGGAAACGTGATAAGCAGAGTACGAACTGGACTGTTTTAAGTATTAATAGTTAATATACTTAATTCAACTATCACTACTCATCATAGATCGTCACTAATAATTTTTTTGTTCTGCTTTCATTTGGCGACTATGAGATGTGTTAAATTGAAATTCTCATGGTGAGTTAGTTTCATCGTGTGAACCGTCAAGTTGAACTACGTTTTAGCAGTGCTTGCTTCATTCGCAATAGTAGAAATCAAATAAATCAACTTTCAGTGTTTTAGTATAGTAAGAAAATTTAAGCCATCATATATGCCAAAAATATGGAAGAAAATTGAAAAACAGTAGTAACCTGAGATGTCACTAGTTTGATTTCAGTGGTGACTTTCTGTATAGCATTTAAAATACTGCCACCACGGCGAGCATTATGCGAAGTAAGGATGAGTTCGGTGTTTCATTTAGCACAACAAATCATAAAGTGATTCTCTCCGATGAAATCTTAATGTGTTTTACTTATGGAATAATACAGCTGACTAAGAACAGATTTGGAGGTGAATATAGTTAATGTTTGTTTTTCTGTAACTTGATTTCCTTTCAAATACTTTGCTGATTTCCTCGAACGTATTGTTAGCTACGATTCTTTATAACTCATAACAGTAATCTTTCGAAGTGTGTATTATCTAATGTGATTTTGTTAAAATTTAGTAAACATTAAAAGAACACCTGCACAGTCAGAAGTTAAAAATCTGTCAGTTTACTTTTTATTCAGATTTGATACGACATTATAGACCTGATCAATCCGATCTCTAGTAAGGTTGTGGATCAGCATCCCCGGGTAGTCCCATACTAAAACGAAATAGCTACACAGAACCTCCGGATTATCAATGGTTGTCTAAGATCGGTCCGTCATGAACAGAGTAGAGGCAGACAAATGATCCTATTGTTTAGATCTTGTAGACCTTGTGCATATTAGACTAGTTTGTATGTAGTGTTCGTGACTGATTGACCTCAGTTGGGGTGGGGTATCAATGGACATCATGGAGAAGTGGATGGCTGTTTCGAGTTCGGACATATCGGAATCAAAAAACATTTGTCACCAGTGGGGTTGGACAGTCATTGCACCATACAGCAAATTTCTACTTTCCAACCGCAATCCATCGGTGGTTTGATGAATAGACGCTAGTTGGGCCATGCTAGATTTTGTCATGTGTACTAACTAGTGAGGATTCCCCTACTATGGTGAAACAGTTGTCCAGTGTAAAGAATAGTAGTAATTATTAAGAAGTGGTTTATCTAGTCTTCACCTTGAATATATTTTACAGTTTCTAAAGCTGAAGTTGATTTAGTGAAATCAGAAGTGAAATTCTATTCCAGCACAGATCGTATAAAACACAAGATGAATTTGTAATTAGGTAATTACGGAACATGCTTTTAGGCACCACAAACAGTGTTAGTGTAAAATGTGACCTAATCTCCTGTCTATAACAGGCAAGGCATGTTTTTCAAAGATGTATGGTTGATTGCATGGAATATGTTTGTGTCATTGTTTAACTTCTGTAGCCATACATCAGTGTACAGTCGAATCGATTATGGCGGTACTCAGTCTGTCAGACTTTTGTTGAGCGTTACATAGGAGGTAATTTAGAAGTGAACTAATACTATTTTAAATATGAACAACTCACTTTGTGTTTATGATCTCCAATATCAAACTGAATTAAATTGGAATACTTTACTTTTGGCATAGATAGAAATTCATCTTCCATTGTATTCCTATTTAAAACACTTGAATTGATCATTTTACATGCGTTCTCCACTTCCATCCTTAAATACTGATTAGCTTGTTTGAGTGCTTGCACTCTGGATTCTATGGAATCAGGTAATGTACCAGAACTGTCTAAATCAGGATTTGTAAATTTCGCAGACTCATGAGGAGGTGATATCTGACGTAATTTATTTCGCTCTGAATACTGTTTAGATCTGTTACTGGGAAACAGAGGTATATATTTGTTCTCAATATATAATATCTGCGATTTTATTCCGAAAATTGCATTGAAAGTTAGAATTTCATTGGAAATTAGCAAACAAATATTGGTTGGTGTTATTGTCTGTCATTTTAGAAACCTAATTGACTTTCCACTGGATATGTTTATTCATCATCTTGGAGATAATGTCAAGATGAATTACATAACTCTGTTCATTTGTTTATGAATAGTCAGTCAACAGTCAACAATGCGTCTCCTTTTAAGTCAGTATTTTTATTATTTCGATTCAAATCCATCTCTTCATTATTTTGCAAAGTTGTAGCAGTCAACTTTTGTTTGAACAAGTATTAATTTTTGAAGAAAGACATTCAACCATAAGCATGAAAAAAGCATATTTTACGTGAAATTCACCTTTGAATTCAAGTGGTGTAAAAGTCCGCCTGACAATCCCAACCAAAGTAGCCTGTGATTAATTAGTGTGTAGATAAACATAAGGTTTGCTTACAGTGTGTGCGTACTTCTATCCTCTCACCTCGTAAGAACATGCTGGTGTTTTAGTTTGTATTTAATCCTCTTTCGAACAATCGGATGCAGTCTGAGTACATTAAATGATTTTAAAGTAAATACCAGTATTATAACATTAAAATTAAGATTAAATAATTTTGTAGAAAGTTTTGAGTATTTATTTATCAAACCAAAAGTAATAGTGATAAGCAACAAAAACTGGTTAATCAAAACTAATTAGCAGTATGCTACTTATGCCGAACTGTTAAATTTCCTCCATGAAAATCATTTTAGGTAACCCTAAATGTGAAGTATATTTTTGTGCAATTATATAAATAAATCCCGATAAACTACAAAAAATAACCACAAACCTTGAAAGTTGAAGCTTTGGTAAACTTTCTGTTTCATCTTGTTCAGTTTTCTCCGTATTTGTGCTGTTATTTGTTAATTCTTGTGTAGCTTGGATACCAGTCGAAACTTTCACAGACTTTTCATGTTTAGTTCTGATTTATAAAATTACAAATGTCTAGATGCATTATTCGCAAAAGAATAAATAAATAAATTATAAATGCTGTTTGTTATTGAACTGGTTGACTTGTGACTCCTGATTATGTGGAGAAAAGCTACAATCGTTTATTCGTGGTTATTTACATCCACCTATAGACCCTTCTGGGCTACTGCCGGTCCAAAAGCGGGAGAAAGGAGGGTCGTGCTTGTGGTTGGCGACCGCATCCCTCAAAAAACTAACTCGCCAAAAAAAATTGCTAAAAAGAAACAATAATTTAAGCTGCTTTGGGAGTTAGGTCTGTAGTGAACGACAGCACCACAGGTCTTCATTACGAAGAGTTATGACGTCTCATGATGAACGTCAAGTACCTACGGAAGTCACGAGGCCGATGGCCCTTCAGACAACTTGTATTCGATAAATAATTTCACAATATTCCGTTCCTGATTTGGATTGTAAATGCCAAACCATGCATTCCATTCCCACAGTTCTATGTGACTTGAATAAAGGTGGAAACGTGATAAGCAGAGTACGAACTGGACTGTTTTAGGTATTAATAGTTAATATACTTAATTCAACTA